GCTACATGGGTTCACGGGCTCCAATCGTTTTAAATGTTAGCTGCTGATGTTAATTTGATTGGTATTCATTTATAAATTATGGTCTAAGATTCCGATATACAACGACCTTCACCGAGATGCTTATTTAATGAAACGTATTTTATATTTAATTTAATATGTCAATAAATATAATCCATATGGGTTGCCTAGCAAATTTCAGTCCAGAGTATTTTAATTAATATTTCAAAAAAAATATTTTTTTAAACATTTCACCGGTATGATTATTAGATAAATTCTATACCAATCGAAAGTATGAAGCCCATAGATTATGCAAACGTTAGGTTGTTTTTAATCAATTAATTATTTATGTGTATATTTTTTATGTGACACTAAAGTATATATACATCTTTAGTAAAAAAGAAAGTTATAGTGATACATATATAATACTACCCTGATTAAAAATATTAATTGAAAAAAATTAAAAAAATTTACTACATGCAAATTATAAAAAAAATTTTTTTTTAAATGTTAATTAAACATACTCTGGACTGAATTTTGCTAGGCAACCTATATGGATTATATTTATTGACTTATTTAATTAAATATAAAATACGTTTCATTAAATAAGCATCTCGGTGAAGGTCGTTGTATATCGGGATCTTATACTATTAGTTTAATTGCACTCTTCGAAACTAAAGTCCTTTTTCGTCTCAGTCAAATGGTATTTACGTTGTCATACATACAGATGAGATCTTTTTATTAACATTACAACTATTTGACTGTTCTTGACTGTAATCAAGCCATTAAAGAGAAGAGAAGAAAATTTTATAGGGTTGATACTACTTTTTTATTATATGTGTATGACGTTTTAATGAAAAATAATTTAAACCGGGAAATGGGTGCAAAAGACACAGTTGAGTTGGAGAGAAATAGAGGAGGCGTCTAAAGATGGACACAAAAGAATGCCTGATGATGATGAATATTTAAACTAAGATATAGATCACATCTAAACAGACACAGAGTAATAAAATCAAATTTAATTAAAACAATAGAAGATCAGTTACCTAAAGGGCAATAAACTTTATAAAATAATATCAATGTAATGTATGTACAAGCTTCTGTATACAAGCTCTAAAAGCTTACTCTATAAGATGCTAGACAATCATGGTTCACTTGGGACATATTTGTTTTGGAAATGGAATGGAATCAATGCTTTCAATCAGTGTAAACTGGCTACATTTATAACGGGTGTCTCAGTAAGAGTGCACTTTTTAATTTTTAAATAAAGACAAGTATTTTATGACAGAGTTGTGATATTTTTATTGTATTATAAAGAAGACATGTTTCGATTAAGTATGGAATAAAATATCCGGCAAATGATCTCCACGGCTCCGATGACAGGCATTACACTTTTCATGAAATTTTCCATGACTTTTGCACAGAGATGTGGCTGTATCTCACCGATGACGCGTTGGATTTCCGATTTGAGCTCAGGAATGGTTTCGAGTTTATTCCCATAAACTCGAGATTTCACAAAACCCCAAAGAAAAAATCGCACGGCGTTAAATTGCACGATCTTGGTGGCCAGTTGACATCAGAATTTCGTGAGATAATCTGTTCTGTTCATCGGAGAAAATGACTTTTTTCGAAAAATTGGCATCGACTTTTTACTTTGCTCCATTACTTATTGAACCAATTACCGGTGCTTTCCTTTCCTTGGAGGTCTTTACAAAATTTGCTGCGTAGTGCTTTGTGAAATTTGAAGTTCATGAGAACGATGTCGAATTGATGTTTTCGGGTATTCGGCGACACTCTCGTTTACAGCAGCAATGTTAATTGACCCAGATTCTTCAAATTTTTTGACTACTCTTCGAATGGTTGACACATTAGGTGCACTTTCTCGGCTGAAAATTTGGTGAAGTTTGCGAGCGGTTTCAGGGTAACATTCCCCATTTTTGTAATGAGTTTTCACAATTATAACGAGTTGTTCTTTCAAAAAGCGCTCCATTTTTAGTAATCGGAATAAACAGAGGTGACAGCTGTCAAATTTCAGAGTTGCCACTTGCATGAAAACAAAAATATTACAATTTTAAAAAGTGCACTCTTACTGAGACACCCTATACTAATCATGAGGATTAATTTTAATTTTTAATTTTGTTATAAATAAACTCGAGTAGTGTTGGCCTAGTGGCTTCAGCGTGCGTGCATCCCTGAGGTCGTAGGTTCGACCCCGGGCTGTGCACCAATGGACTTTCTTTCTATGTGGGCATTTAACATTCGCTCGAACGGTGAAGGAAAATATCGTGAGGAAACCGACATATCTTAGACCCAAAAAGTCGACGGCGAGTGTCAGGCACTAAAGGCTGATCACTTACTTGCCTATTAGATTGAAAAAAGAATATGAAACAGATTCAGAAATCTGAGCCTCAGTTCTTAAGAGGTTGTAGCGCCACCGATTTTTTTTATTGAATAAATAAACTCACTACTGTATCGTTTAAAACAAATTATGCCCAGTGCAAAGATGGGACAGGCTGGTTGTACAATAAAGTACTCGGCTTATCTGTACTTACAATATATTAAGATAACCGCCAACAAAGAAACGTATTAGTGATAACTAGAGAGGAATAAAAACAATGTGAGAAAATCTATTGGAAACGCGAGTGATAAATATCTATGATTGCTATCAGAAAATGGGCTTGGAGTGAGATAAAATATTTTTTCTTGTTCCATTGTTATTCAATATTCCCCTTTTATTTTCTTTTAAATGGATTTGTTATAGATATATAAATATATGTATATATAATAACATTTGCTCGATCAGTGAAGGAAAATATCGTGAGGAAACCAGCTTGTCTTAGACCCAAAATGTCGACGGCGTGTGTCAGGCACAGGAGGCTGATCACCTACTTGCCTATTAGATTGACAAATGATCATGTAACAGATTCGGTAATCTGAGGCCCAGACCTAAAAAGTTTGTAGCGCCACTGATTACTTTTTATTTTATTAATAATAATTCAACAGCGCTACAGCCCTTTTCTGGTATCTGAATTTTTTTTATCTGCGTCGTTTTAATGTTTTGTGCAAAGTTCGTGATTCTTAAATGCTAAATATATTAAAAAACATTTACAAATATTACTTATAGGGCTGTTTATATGTAAATCAAATAACTCTTGCTTGTAAGGTGAAGGCAAACATGATGACAAAAACGGCATGTTTGAGTTCCAAAACTCGTGTCAGGTACAGACTACAAGTCTATTAAAAGATTAAACGGATGCAATATGATCCCAGTTCTAGCGTCACTGGGCTATTATTTATAAAAAAATAAAATAAATATGATTATTATGGAACATAAGATACATGTATCACTTATTCCACGTCATTAAATTTGAATTTGTAGGCATCCCTACTCATCGGCAAAGAAGACAGAGGGTGTAGGCCGAGAGAAAAAGCCGGCGTAAAAAACTCTCGGTACTCTTTTAAAATAGCAAATCATCAAACAACACTTATTTTAAAACAAATATCGCAAATTAATTAGAAGTAGCCTGTCTAGCACTAGTCCCAGGCCCTTTTATCAACTAGATAATCGTTGACTTTATAGTAAGCCTTTTTACACAGCTTTTCTTTGATACATTTCTTAAATTTATTGAAAGGCAGAGATAAAAGAGCCTCTGGGATTTTATTAAAGAAGAGTATCCCTTTCCCCAAAAAAGAATTACTAACTTTAGATAGCCTAGTACGGGGAAATTGCAGCCTGCCTTTGTTCCGTCTATTAACATTGTGCGTATGTTCTATTCTAGTAAACTTATCACTATTTTTGTATACATACATAATATTTTCATAAATATATTGCGAGGGAAAGGTAAGTATATTAATTTCCTTGAATTTATCTCTAAGAGATTCCCTACATTTTAAATTATAGATTGCATTTAAGTATAGATTGTATAGAAGTACCTACAGTTAAAACCAATAAAAAACGGATTCGTACAATAATTATTTTCCTTCCTTTATTTTCTCCCTTTATCGTGCCTTCACTTTAACACAAATAGCAATGAGTATATTACTATATTCCCTTTTTTAAATGCCGACAACACATTCGCGAGCCCTCTGCCATTGTGAGTGGCAATGGGAGGCGGTAAAACTAACATCAGGTTTGCCTGCCCGTTCTATTAAAAAAAGGAAATTATCTAGCTTTAAATTTTTATTACTTTAATGTGTACCATGGTGTATCATATCTATTCAAATACAACACTCTGTGGTGTCTGAAGGAGTAGCAAGGGTTTAGTTTCTAAAATAAAAATATTACTTTTAAATAAAAAAGTTGTACGGCAAACAAAGTTATACAGACAATTGTCTATCTAAATCCTATATTTGATAATCTCAAAATTATATATATCTAGTGTAGATAAACGTTACTAACATACTACATATACTAGCTGTCCTATTACATCGGATTCAACACAATCTGATCATTAATCTATATCATTCAACTTGAAATATCAAAATAAAAACACGACATATTTAGATTGATTTATAGCCAATTTTTTATTACACAAATAATGAAAAACTTTATTGCTCAATCGATTGAAATAAACGTACATAAAGCTTCGTGAATAATAAACATCTGGAGTGAATGTAGGTGTTCAAAGAAATAATAATAGCTTCGCGATAAATTACTGTATCGAAAAATTGCTAATAAATTGCCTTAAAATTAATATTAAAAGTACAACATTTATTTTATTTTATATAATAGGGGCAAACGAGCCTACGGGATGCTCATGAAGGGCAGTGTTCGCAGCCCACACCCATGTTTAGTGGGTGCGTTGCCGGCCTTTAAGTGAGGAGTACCTCCATTTAATATATCTTGTGTTATTCACTTTGTATCCGAGAAACCGGTTCAGTAGTGAGTTTATTTTTAAACTTATACAATTAAAAGAAACATAGAAAGTGTATCCAATTAAAGTCGTGGTAGTTAATGTGCATTAATTAAGTAAATAATACTTAAAAAAAATCCTTACCAATATTTACAGCGCAGATACAATCGGCTCCTTATCAGATGAAACTACAGTCTTATCTACCAACATGTACATCTTAACACAGTCTTCGTTCGGACTTGGGTTGTCCTCTGGCTTTTCATCCGGGCTCACATTGTCTGGATCATCTTCGTACACTTTAACTTTATCATTTAATTCTATCCTATATCTAACAGAAGGCATCTTATTTACGGTCGAAGTCAACAAGGACTCTTGAACGGTTTCATTTCCGTTACAGGTTTTCTCCGATTTGTACATTCCTGTTCTATCCGATTGATTAAAATTCCTTTTAGACTTCTTCGTCACTAACGCACCGAGACACGGCAGAATTTGCTTGAACTCCTTGCGAAAGTTCTCGTTCAACCATGCATACAGAAACGGATTGTAACAAGTCGATGACATGGCTATGAAATGCGCTACGAAGAACAGAACCATATAATACTTCCAGTCTTCGGCAAACGAGTAAAAGTCACTACTTATATTAATTAAATTTAACGGGAGCCACGAGAGCCCGAAAATAGCAACCATAGCTATCAACATTCTGTTAGTTCGTCTTTTTCTTTCTCTCTCTGCGTCTTCTTTTTTACTATTCTTACTTCCGGGCCTCGATTTCAATCTATCATTCAATTTTATACTAACGCACGTATAGCAAAATGCCATTACTATAAAAGGTATCACGAACTGCATGATAGTCGTTACCGCGCCGAAAGCTTTCCGGATTTGATCCGATGGCCATTTTTCTTCGCAGAAAATGTCTTGAAGGGTCATATAATAGCCATAAGGAAAGGTTACCGATAGAGCGAAAACCCATATAAATATAATGAGTCCAATGCATGTCGTTATCTTCATTCGGGGTTTGAAAGGATAAATTATTACGAAGAACCTATCAATGGCTATAGAGGTGAGGGTTAAAGTGGAAATGTAAACGCTACAGCCTTGAGCGTAAGGCATTATGTGGCAGAGGGGACCACCAAACACCCACCTACCTAAAAACGTATACAGGGGAGTGAAGGGTACTGCAAACACGCATAGTAATATATCAGAAAGCGCTAAGTTAGTGATGAAAAGATTAGTGACAGTCTGCATGGCTTTGTTCCGGATGACAGCGTAGCAAACGAGGGCATTACCGAAGATGCCAACTGTGAATATAATTGTGTAGGCTGTGCAAAAAGCGGCTTGAATGGCTTTGTCCTCGATCGGGTCCGGGGGGACTGTGATGTTCTCATTTTGACTGTAGTTTAAATTATATAACGATTCGTTGGTACTCCATTCGGTCGGCATAATTTATCGATTTCTTAACTTGGCATCAGTGTAAGGCGGTTGATGTTGGCATGTTTAAGCAGCCAACTGAGACAGATCGGTGTATTTGAGCAAACAAAATGAGAGACGTTCATACTGTTTGTTTCAGTTCTATTAGCTACTCATGCGTGTCAATTGTATTCATTGTGCTGTTTGCTTATGACTTGATAGCTCCATCAACGCCAAGATGTCTGAAAACAAAGACAAAAGAGTTAATTTGTTTCTTTAAGAAGTAACTCAACGGTGTAACGAGTATAAATTTATTATTTCGTAGACAATAAATTCGGTATTTACTAGACTAGAAGACGCTAAGATCAAAGAAATTTTAAGTAACAAAATATATTGTATATTTTTAAATGAATCAGTCAAATAATAGAAAGTTAAGAAATACGTTATTATAAACACGATGTGGCTGTCGTTTGCAATGTTGCCTATCTACCTACATTCTTGTTAGTCTGAAAAAACAAGTAAAAGTTACGTATTAAATTCCCTAAGGATAAATAGACAACCTTTTTAGTATATATGGTCCGTTTTCCTTTCAATTTAGGTCAGGATATGTCTTATTACCGGACAATAGCCTGACACAATTTATATTCCAGTCCATTTAATTTGAATTTACATTCTTGATTCACACTATTCTGATTTAAACTTGTATTACGTGATCACGCACTTCATTTAGTGTAAATAAACCGAACCATTTTCCACGTTTTGACTGAAATTTATTGTTAAGGGAATCGCAATTCATTTTTAGAAATATGTTTAAACTCTCAACTTCCTGAGGAACGTTCGTATATAAATTATATACCCCCAGATAAAGCATAAATCAATTAATAATAATAAAAACTTTATTTATGACAAAAGGGTTAGTGCAGAATTCATATATCGCTAGTCCCCACCCTAGGGAGACCCCGTGTTGTGGGTAACTAGAAAACAATTATTCCGTGGTACATGGCACATGTTTAAAACATGTGTCGACTTTTTGGGTCTAAGACATGTCCGTTTCCTCACGATGTTTTCCTTCACCGTGAGAGCGAATGTTAAATGCGCACATAAAGAGAAAGACCATCGGTGCGCGCCGAAATTATAGCAACATTTTATTAGGATTGAAACCCTCAGGAACTTGCCAAATTTTCTGTGGTGACAAGAAAATGCACACATGTTCATTTAGTAGGTAAACGTAAAACTGTGCGGCTTATTTGCCAATATTTATAAATAGTATATGTCTATCTAATTAGTGGGAATCACTGACCACAACTGTACTTTATTATTGCCAAAATATTATATGGCATAGAGCCAATAATGTTCAAATACAATACAAATGCAAATCCAGACCATCGTTGGTACATGATTACATTAAGTGGATAATATTGAGTCGTTAAACAAGAAATGGGCTACTAAATACACCATTACGACCCGTCAATAAACACTATAGTTTGCTAATTAATCTGACTGTGGAGGATTCCTCTGATGGCTTCGAATATTGTTTAGAACTTCAAGTATTTACTTGAAATAGGTATAAATAATAAATACGAGCTTTACGTATATTTAATTGTGTGTTTAGGTCTCTTAAAGATAATTTAAAGAAAGCTCTTCAATACTTGTATACTACCGGTGCTAAAATATGGATCTTAAACATGGGCGGCGCCTACTAAAGCGCAGCATACAAAGTTACGGGTGTGTCAAAGATAGATGGAACGATGTATGATAGGGAAGAAAAGAATAGACAAAATAAAGAATACAGCTTTAAGAAAAATAACTAAGGCAACAGGTGTTACAATAAAAGTAAATAAACTAAAGTGGAAGTGGGCGGGGCACATGGCAAGAGGAACAGAAACGTGGAGCAAAAATCTACTAAACTGGTGCCCAAGGAACAAACGAAAAAGAGGGAGACAACTTAGAAGGTGGATAGACCAAATTAAAGAAGCAGCAGGTGGCACATTGCTGAGAGGAATGTCGGGATTTGGAGGAGGCCTTTGCGAAAAAAGGGCACACTAGAAGAGGATTGAAATGGAAACGTATTTAAATGTAAATTTATTTATAAGCGACGTTTTACAATGACTTCAATGTGTATCACTAACCCACGGAAGATTAATTATAAATCATTATTTATTATTAGAATCATTATACTAGTTATATATCATTATATACACACATAATAATGTAGAAGAAAGATATAAGAACCAGTCGATTAACCTTTGACCAATAAAGACTAAGAAATCCTAGTTTGTGAACTAATGTAGTGATTATAATTCAATCTCTTTAGTGGACCATCAATCCATTTCTACACGCGCTATTTATTTTCTTTTATTATAGAGAATAAGTCGTAAATAAAATTAGATTCCATAAATAAAAAGTAATACTATGTATACAAGTTACTCTTAGACCGATTGAAAAATCCCAAAGTTTCACAATTAGACGTGCATTAGGCCATCTCTTATTATTGAATTCCAATGATTTGGCTGCGAAATGGTACTTGGTTAATTACTTATTACTAATCACAGTATTAAGGTTTTCATGAAAGCTGTCTCGCAGTTACGGTATGATTTTGTGATTACGTCAAAAGTAATTATTTACTTAAAGAAAAAACTGTTTAACCGGATTGAAGTTATGTATTATTATAAATTTACAACTATTTAACATAATTTTAAATTTATCCGACGTTTCGCGTGCTTTACAGCGTGCGTGGTCACGGTGACTGAAGACAAAAAGATGTTGGATGTCAAAAAGTATCACAGCTGTAGAGAAAGTTGCCTTATCTGTATTTATTACCCCGGAGTTGGTATCGACTAAAAGATGGAGGGTTTTGGCAGAAATGGCTCACGGTGTCCTCTATTTTCGCGGATTGTTTTTCTTGAGATTTTAATTTGTAATACATAACTTCAATCCGGTTAAACAGGTTTTCTTTAAATGTGTAAAGGTTATGTAAATCAAACAATACAATTATTTACTTTTTTACACATATTACTAACACATTGTGTATGCTTGAAAACAAAATGCATTTTCGAGGATTCCTTCAAAAAATGAATACGTTTATGTACTATTTTTGAGAGCTTTGCTTACTTCTTGCTGACAAGAGGAAGGGGTGGAGATAAATTGCAGTAAATCTGATTATGTAATCCTTGATCGGCCCATTAAGACTTGATAAAAGATACTTATTTTATGATTAAGCATAACATACATATATATATATTAATGTTGTGTAACGGTTAAAAAATTGTAATTCCTGTATTTTTATCTTATAAGTCTTCTGTTTTTTGCCTGTTGTTTTTACTATTGTAATTAACAATTAATTATTAAGCGTATATTGTATTTGGACATTTCCTCATATAAGTGAATGCTGTAATGTTCTTATTGAGATTTCTCAAAACACAGCTTAAACCGTTAATTTTCAGCTTTCTACCAACTATCCGGATTTTTAGTAGAGAAAATAAAGAAATATATTAGTAGATGTAATATATACAATTCTCGTGTCGCGGTGTTTGTGGTTAAACTCCTCCGAAACGGCTTGACCGATTCTCATGAAATTTTGTGTGCATATTGGGTGTGTCTGAGGATCGGACAACATCTATTTTTCATCCTCCTAAATGTAAAGGGTAGTCCACCCCTAAATATTTTTTTTTTTATTTTTTAGATAAAAGATTTTTTATTACTTTTTTATGATACAGCATTAAAAATACATACAACCCCTAATTTTCACCCCTCTACGATCAACCCCTATTTTTCATTATAAATTATATACATGGCAAAACGTCGTTTGCCAGGTCAGCTAGTATTAGTATAAATACTGCATAATCTTCAACTCTCAGAGGTCGGTAACTGAAGTAATTTATATGGCCAAGTAACGTTAGGCAAATTAGTAATACAGAATTACTATTATAAGTATCAATATTTGTGACGGGTGTTTACTGTTTAGTAAGCGATATCGGTCATTCAGCAAGTTAAGGATTATTTAATCGGGAGTCTTATAGTTTTATGGCCATATTCATGATAAGCGTTATCGTTGGTTATCCTAAATTAATGATTTATTGATAAGTTATTGACAAAAGACATACGCTTCTAGTAATAAAAGATTTGCTTATAAAAAAAGTAAATTGCAATATACTACAACCTTTTTAGGTCTGGGCCTCGGATTTCTGTATCTGTTTCATGATCATATTTTGTCGATCTAAAAGCCTCCTGTGCCTGACACAGTCCGTGGACTGTTTGGGTCTAAAGCAAGGCACACGATGTTGCCACCGTTTAAGCAAATGTTAAATGCATAAATAGAAAGAAAATCCATTGGTGCACAGCTGGGGATCGAATGTACGACCTCAGGGATGAGAGTCGCACGCTGAAGCCACTAAGCCAACACTGCCTAAAAACTAACTATAGTCAAAATAATAAGCAACCACGGTAATTCTGAAGTTCTATCGGGAATACGACGTAGAATACGGATTTAATTAAAAACACTTCCTTAGCAACGCAATTATTAATATAAAGTGGAGTTTCAGAAGTTCACAAGTCATTTGTAAGGGTCAAACGTATAAATTAGCCCCAAGACCCGACAAACATCCCTTTTATATACAGCCTCCAATAATGGCACAATAAGTCTTTTAAGTATTACAATTTCAAGGAAAATACTTTGCTTGCTTGCTTTGCTTTACGTGTCTATTTTGATAGTTATCTTATTTTTATTAAAAATTCAACACTGCTATTGCTTGCTCTTAAGAACGCAAGAGCTTTTGCCGCACCACCTCTTTGTGGATTCAGCTGCCAGTATTTCCAAACTGATAATACTTAGAGGCCATCAAGAAAAGAGCGTACCATTTTAAAGGTCGGAAACACGCCCGCTAGCCCCCGTTGCAGGTGTCTATGGGCGGTGATAATCATCGTGATAACAACCACTGTATTCAAAGTGACCCGCTTGCTCGCTTGTCAGTACGTAAGAATAAAAAATAATCTAAAAACAAGGCGCATAGGATTAGTTTCGTCTAACGAAAAGA